TATCGGACATGCATCCGCATGCAGGACATGCATCGCTCGAGAAAGGTCTCAGTGAAGAGCTCGATGGCGGGCTCCTTGAGAAGGGGGCACAGCCCGGTTATCAACGACAATAATTATTCGGATCATCATAGAACCGAATACGTATAAAACCCGCTTGTCCCCAGGCGAATGCACATACAGGGTGGCCCCGATTTCAATTTCTCACTATCCTCGGAAAGGCTGAGTTTCGAAGGAGAAGCGGTGGAGACATCTTAATCGGATGTAAAATCGCAAATAATTCGAGGTCATTCATCATACTTTCTTCCCTAAGCCAAGCCATTTTCGAGAGAAAGAATCAAGAAAAAAAATCCCGCTTCTTCTTCTTCCATAGGGGAGAATCGAGTTTGATGCTTTTTCTCCAGGGCATCGACCCCGAGACAAAGGGCAACATCGTTTTTCGATGAGGATTCAAAAAAGCCAGTAGGGAAACCCATCGCACTTTTTCCTCTAAACCTCACCGATTCCGAGAAAAACTCAAAAACCGAGTGAGGGACCACCCTGTATATTCCAGCTCGATATTGGTGTCCTCCGAAATTCGTTCCTCCCCTTATATCGGCGAGGAAAATGCGGAAAATAATGAGGAAGAGACCTATGGAATCCCATTGCTTCGTTCGTCGAGCATGAGGGCGATATGTATCGGTCACTCATGAATAAGGGGAGCATAAATTCTGTAGATTGTGAGCTCAAAAGTGGAGGGTGCAAGTTTATAGTAGCGAGATCGGTGTACAGACCTCTCTGGTCGAATCGCTATCGGAGGAATGGAATTGAGTGTCAGACTCGATGAAGGACCAAAAGAAACTTTCAATTGAGGAAACAACTCGCCTTAAGTCAGGGCATGATCTCTTAAAAATTGGTGGCCCTGAGAAGGGCCGTTTTTTTTTCTGTCGAAAGAGGGTTTGACGTGATTAACCTCCGAAACCGTAGAGGGTACGTCCTTGTCTCTTGAGAGCGTAGACGACGTCCATGGCGGTGACGGTCTTCCTCTTGGCGTGCTCGGTGTAGGTGACAGCGTCACGGATGACGTTCTCAAGGAAAACCTTGAGGACACCACGAGTCTCTTCGTAGATCAAACCAGAAATACGTTTGACTCCACCACGACGTGCCAAACGACGGATGGCGGGCTTGGTGATACCCTGGATGTTGTCACGCAAGACTTTGCGATGACGCTTGGCGCCACCCTTTCCAAGACCTTTTCCTCCCTTGCCGCGTCCAGACATGATTCTCTTTTCAAATGAAGAGTTGAAAGTGACTGGCTCGCCGATGTTTTATATCCGCCCGGAGCACCGGCTCCGCCTCTCTTCAGGCGAGGGCGACCTAAGCTCCGGTACAGCTGTCGAATCTGAGGCGACCGCGCGTCCCGACTCGATGCACGGCGCCCAGCAGGCTAGGCTCCGAACCATCCAGCCCGGAGGGCTCCTTGCTCCCTTTTCAGGCTGACACAGAGACAGAGGCGACTCCCGGATGAAGCTTTCGGACGGTTGCCAGAGGCGAGGTATCGGACGAATCTATGATTGAAGCCTGAAGACTGAGACCTGCGGTCTCAAGCTATCTTGCGCTCGGGAGGACCCGAAGAAGCTGCTAGAGCGATAAGGCGGATTGAGTCGTGGTATGAACGAATCTCAAATGACGCGACTGATCTCCAGATGATTTTATGACTGATCAGAATGAGCGATGGTCTTCATCGTCTCGGAAAATCGTGTCGAAATATTGCCTCGATGAGACAGAAATGGATACAATACGCGATAGATCGAGGAGACGTTCGAGTTGTGAGGATGATTCGACATCGAGCGATCCTCTCAGCGAATCGTTTTCCGAGAGGGAGCGTTCCTACCGAGTTTCTATGGAAGGTCTTCCAGACGAATTCGCGAAAGGATCCCCATCCCTATCATCCCCAGGTCTTCCCCTGAAGCTTCCGAAAGGCTCTCCGTCACGGTTCCCATCAGCAGCCTTTTTCGGTCGGTCGAGCCGAGGTTTCGAGCTTCAGAAAAAAGACTTGCCTTCCAATACGAGGCCGATAATAGGCTTTGCAAAACTAGGAGTCGAGAATCGGGAATTCAGAGTCGACGCATCGATTTGATTTAAGGTCCTCCGCTGAGACCTATACTTCCTGCCTTATTTGGGATTTGGGATATTCAGCCAGGTTGAGAGCTGCCTGATTCCGGGACTCCACTTGTTTCAAGTTTTCAGTGTGCGCTAGAACTAGCTATCATGTCAAGTGTATTAATCTCCTACTAAAAGCCTCATTCTTTGATGCATCAACCCTCCGCCCGGCCTGACTCGCCCGTGAGTCGTCGCTCTGAACGGCGCTGGAGTCACCGAGCTGGGGAACTCCGCCTCCCCGGTGTCGTATATAAGAGGCGACGGCTCTCTGCTCCGCAACCAAGTTTTGGCGCGCACTCGTTCGCTATGGCTCGTACTAAGCAGACCGCTCGTAAATCCACCGGAGGAAAGGCTCCGCGTAAGCAGCTCGCCACCAAGGCTGCCCGCAAGTCCGCCCCGGCCACCGGTGGTGTCAAGAAACCCCATCGTTATAGGCCCGGTACCGTCGCTCTTCGTGAGATCCGTCGTTACCAGAAGTCGACTGAGCTCCTGATCCGCAAGTTGCCTTTCCAGCGACTTGTTCGTGAGATCGCTCAGGACTTCAAGACCGATCTCCGTTTCCAGAGCTCAGCCGTCATGGCCCTTCAGGAGGCCTCTGAGGCTTACCTCGTCGGTCTCTTCGAAGACACCAACCTGTGCGCCATCCACGCCAAGCGTGTCACCATCATGCCCAAGGACATCCAGCTGGCTCGTCGTATCCGCGGAGAGCGTGCTTAAGTCACACGTATCCGTGCGATTGTGAAAAAAAACGGCCCTTTTCAGGGCCACTCAAATCTAGGAGATCATCACTCTCTATGCTACACTCACTTCTTAACTCATACGAATCTCTTAAACTATGGGTCTCCTCAATTCGTAGGCTATGTTCATCTATCTATATATATAAAAATTCACAGTGGTAGTGTCTACGACACTAACGTGGAGTTGGCGTGAAAACGTCTTCCTAATCCTTTCCAGAGGGGCATATGAATCTCCGGAGGGAGAACCATCGCGATGAGAGAATTACTCGAGAATCTTTATGTCGCTGCCGTGGCGTCCGATGGATCTCCTTACGGATGACGGATGACAGACTGTGCCGGAAGCCTTAATTGGCGTTCCTGTGATACAGTCAAATCATCATGAAACGAAATCACAGTGTACCGATTTCTAAGAAATATTTCGAGTTTCGAGCTATGAGGGGTCTCCGAAAAGGAGTCTCAAACGAATTAAGCCACCAGATCAATTATTTATTTGAATCATTTGTTCATTCATCTATCATAAGTCATAAGGGCTTGGATCTAGGCGATGCATATTGGACTTCAATCTGGAGGGAGAAGGACGAGAGCTTCATCCACATGAATGGGTTATGATTACGGTCATAGTCATACGCGAGCGTATACGCTGGCGACGGCCGCCGCCAGCGGATCCGCTGCCGACTCTCCATGGCTCTGCTCCCTCCTCATATGATTCGCGCTTCCGATATGTTTCAAACAATTGTCCTTCCGTGCGTGATCTACAACGATATTACAGGAGCTGCAGAACGAGCGATCCCCCGACGCGTGGAGTTTTCACGTCTCGAACTCCTTCGCTCGCATCTCAGGCGTCACCCGCACGGACGCGGCCTCCTTGGCAGAGACTCCCGAGGCGCTCATCTTCCGCAAAGCGTTGTACCAGTGTAATGATTCGAGGTTTGCATCGCCTCAAATATCTCCGTCTCGTCTGGTGGAGGGAAGACAAAAATTCTATAGCGCAGAGCTGACATACAGCTGACAGAATTGTAAGGACTGATGCTTGGGTCCAACTGAAGCTGACAAATGAACCGTTTCCTTGCGGATGCTGCGTCGAGTTCAGAACGTGCTTGACTCCTTTACCCTGGAGGAACTCCCCGAGCTTCTTCGATGTTAAGGCCGTGCCTCGATCCGATATCAGGACCGCCGGCGCTCCATACTTCATGAACACACCTCCCAAGAACGTAATCACATGTCGAGTTTCGGTTGACTTCACAGATTCTAGCATCACATACTTCGAAAAACTGTCGACAAGAACTATGATGTGTTCTTTCCCAGAAAACTTCGGCAGTGGTCCCAGATGATCTATCATGAGCTTCTGGAAAGGTCTCTGCGCGGCTGGAACTGGATTACACATTCCTTCTTGGCGTCCTGCCTTTTCCTTCGCATACAAGCACTCCAAGCAACATCTTATATGCTGCTCCACGTATTTCTTCATTCCAACAAACCAGTAACGCTCTCCGATCATGTCAAGCGTTTTGCCTGACCAGTCGCGCCACTTATTCTCAGCGCTCCAGCGATTAGCTCTGCCATCTGCGTCATCATAGTCTGATCCATCGTCGATTCCGGTGTCGTCGTGCCTCTTCTTGAGCTTTCTCCGTGATTATCTCGGTCTCCGTTCGTAGCTGACCTGCACCTCGCGGTCCACTCTACTTCCTCGCTGAACTTCGATCGAGGTGGTCTGTCTTGCGTCTGACGAGCTTACAGCTGGAGACCCCACTTCTGAAGTGTAAGGACTGATACTTAGGTCCAACTGAAGCTGACAAATGTAGAGATCACGTAATTTACGGTAGCTCGCGCAAACTTCGATTTACCCTAAAATCCCGCTCACAAGGAACCACTCGTAAAGGGAACCTTCCGTATTAGCAACCTCGCCCATAAGGAACCTTCCACATGAGGATCCTCGCGTGTAAGGAACCTTCCACATAAGAATCCTCGCGTATAAGGAACCTTCCACATAAGGAAGCTCACGTAAAAATAACTTGTCATGGAGGGATTTTCGCGCAGAGCCAACCTTGAGTGGGCGGAATATCATTTTCTTCAATATCATTCCGGATAAACCGAGGTATCTTCATTGATCAAGGCAAATGGAGTATTCAAGATGGAGAATCGAATCCGTGGAAGGTTCCTTATGCGGAAAGTTCCCTATACGTGAGGTTCCAGGGCGGCAGCGTATTCAGGCCGAAGCTGACGATGCTATAGCTCCGTCCTCTCGGAAATTTTTGAAGCTAGCTTCGTCGAGCCGGTCATCCCAAATCCCAAGTTCCCTTCTTCGGAATGATTGTCGGACTCGAGAGACATGTATTATACTTCAGTGCGGATCAGCATTGCGTAAACCATTTCTTTGGCGTGCATAGGCAAAGCATAGAATACTTGGAGAAGGGATGATGAAAAGCACAGAAGAACCCGCTGCCTTGATGCACCTGGACAGCACTCAGCAGATGCTAAGTGGAAGCTCCTCTCCTCGAAAGCTTCCTGATTGCGGTCTGTCTTCACGCATGCTGGATCATTATTTTAATCTCTGAATGAGAGCTGGGACGCTGCGACTCTCTGTGATCTCCCCAAGATGTATATGTTTCATTTAATAGCACACCGCTTGCGAGCGGCATTTCCCGTCACAACCTATCTCTTGAATCAATTCAAGCTCAATATCTCTAGAATCCGAGATTCGGAAACCAAACACGGGAGGTGAAGCATTCAGCTTCGTCGGAAAAAAATCCTGGATACGCGGTTGATCCAGGGGTGGCCAAGAGGTGGTCCGCGGACCAGTGGTGGTCCTCGGTCGAAATTTCGGTGGTCCACGGAGCAAGCTAAGCGCTTTTCAATAGCGGACTCAATGATATCCAGTCCCAGTCATTGACTTTCGCAACGAAAACTCCGCTGCCCAGTGCTCAGTGATTAGACGCCCGCACGTGCTGTATAAAGTTCAGTGGATCAGAGGCGGCATTCTCGATGAGCCCGTTCTCACTTCCTGCTCCGAATACATATGAACTATGGCTCGGTGGTCCGCAGGTTCCGTCGCAATGGCCTCAGTGGTCCGCGGAACCAGGGAGGTTGGCCACCCCTGCTCTAATCGGTTCTTAAGAGCTGAGAATCACTCAGCTAAAAATGCGCGCCCCATGCAAAATAATTGGCAAGCGCTCTACATACCTGCGACGGGAGGAGAAGTCCTGAGCGTATCGTCAATGACCAGGTAAGGGCGGCATCCACGAAACGCTTCATCGCTTCACGGTCGAAGGGCATCTGGATAAGGGGAAAGAGCTACCGGAGGACGGCCCGCCAGTCTTTTCCATAGAGACCCGTCAGCTTCGGAGCATGAAGTCGAGCAAGTGGAACTTGGAAGACCATCGATTCGAGCAGCCTGTCGGATGATGTTCTTATGTTGATTTTCGCGAATCTAATGGGGGCGGGGTTCGGAGCACGCGCTCGGTGCATGGGGTGCACACCGCGTCAGAAAGTGAGCACATTGGATTTTTGGGTCAAACGAGTGAGAGAACGTGATCGCCTCGGGACAATAAGTTCGGGCTACCGCGGAGACCCGGGTGAAAGGTCGTCCCTGACCAACGTTGACTCATGCCGACTGGCTGGTCTCGGTGACGCAAATATTAGTCTCTGACTCCTATTCCCGAGCTAAATTTCCTCATCCCCTACGGTCCGTATTGACTAATTCGATGATCATGATTCGGGCATCGCGTTAGGATATTTGATCTCATTGATTTTGGTGGCCCTTAAAAGGGCCGTTTTTTCAGAAGATTATAATCTACTTGGATGAGGTGTACTTGGTGACAGCCTTGGTTCCCTCAGAGACGGCGTGCTTGGCCAACTCTCCGGGGAGGAGGAGCCTCACAGCGGTCTGGACTTCCCGAGAGGTGATGGTCGACCTCTTGTTGTAGTGGGACAGACGAGAAGCTTCGGCAGCAATACGCTCGAAAATGTCGTTCACGAACGAGTTCATGATAGACATGGCCTTCGAGGAGATACCGGTGTCGGGGTGGACTTGTTTCAACACCTTGTAGATGTAGATAGAGAAAGGTTCCTTCCTCCTGCGCTTCTTCTTCTTCTTGTCGGTGGCACGGACGTTCTTTTGGGCCTTACCGGCCTTCTTCACGGCCTTTCCACTGGCTGCAGGCGGCATCGTTCAAGTCAAGCTCAAACGAGAGTGAGCAGCTCTGGTGGATCGTTTCTATTTGAGTGTTTGGACTGGGGCGGAAAGAGCGGAATTTCTGCCGCCTTTCGAGGGAGGGGCGGCTCCGCTCCGCGACAGAGCCCGCCCAGCTTCATATATAAACTGGGAGAGCCGAACCCTGAGCAATCGTCAGTTTTGAACTCACGTACTATCAACGATGTCTGGACGCGGAAAGGGAGGAAAGGCAAAGTCGAAGGCGAAGACCCGTTCGTCTCGTGCGGGACTTCAGTTCCCCGTCGGTCGTATCCACCGTCTCCTCCGCAAGGGAAACTATGCCGAGCGTGTCGGTGCTGGAGCCCCCGTGTACCTCGCCGCTGTGCTTGAGTACCTGGCTGCTGAAGTTCTCGAGTTGGCAGGAAACGCTGCTCGTGACAACAAGAAGACCAGAATCATCCCCCGTCATCTTCAATTAGCCATCCGTAACGACGAAGAATTGAACAAGCTCCTGTCAGGTGTGACCATCGCCCAGGGTGGTGTGTTGCCCAACATCCAGGCTGTCCTTCTCCCCAAGAAGACCGACAAGGCTGCTGCCTAAGTCATCCTTCGGCAAAAACAAACGGCCCTTTTCAGGGCCACTAGAGTTTAAAAGATCGATTCCGCCTTCGAGCCTGCCTGTTGTCGAACTGCATTGAAAATTGGATTTCAATTTAATTCACGCTGTGGGATTCGATTTGTTGATCATTGTATAGCAAACACTCTTCCCCTGCTCCCTCGATGAGCTCCTTAAATCTTCCCCGTCCATTTGTCGAAACTGAAGAAACTAGCCTTGTGGTATCGAGTAAGCATGTCGATGTGTGAGTTCCGGATCATATATAAATTTAATGTATCAAATTATTCATAATTGACTTGAGAAGTTAGACCCGTGAAAGCGGGGAATTCGACCAGCAGTCCGCATAAGCCGCAGTGACCCTCGCTCAGGGTGGTAAGATGCCCACCATCTGGGCGATACTCTCGCCAAGACGAATGAATCGACTGCTGACGAAGCTATCTTTCGAGCTATCTCTCGACAAGAGGAGAAGTGGCCTTGCTGGGGGGCGCGAGGTTCAGAAGAAGAGTGCGTTTTTCTTCCCGGAGGCCGCAACGACGCCGCTCGCGCGGGAGGCGGTGTGAGTTCGATCCCTGCTGCCTGAAAAATATGCAGGTACTCGGCCTTGATCCTCCTGGGTACATTTGCTCTATAGATCCGTCCTCGGAAGCAATGTGTATAACAGTACCCGGGACCTTGAACCTTGACTGTGTGGATCAGCCCGAGAAAATTTTTTTGCGAAGGAGGCCGGAAGCACAGATATTGCTCCTTTGGCGTTTTGGAATCTAGATGCCAAGAAAGACCAGGACAGTCGCGCGGAGACTAGGCTTCCTTTGCAAACTTACGGATGGGCTTGATCATGGCCCCAGTCGACTATGTAGATCCTTTCACACCGCATAATGGGAGAATCAGGAGAGAGTTAAAGCGAGAAAACTCACCTACTCTTCATCAGTTTTTCCGAAAGAAAAGGAGAGGGATGTTCCATCGCCGACAGGATATTTGTCCTTTCTTTTCAGCATTCCATTGGTCTGGCGAGCCAACGAGGAGATCTTCATGGATGTCCTCGTGAGGGGAAATTCCTCCTTGGATGCCGGGGAGAATCCAGTTTAGGAAGATGGGCCAATGGGTATCAGTCAGCGATTTTTATAATAATAATTTTGAAATTGTTTTCAGCTACGGCAGAGCTGCGCGATAAGTAGTTTCACAGAGCGGCGATTTGAGCTTGGGATAGGCTTCAGTTCATCCGATAGGTGTTCAGAGCGCGAATCATTCGCAACGATCTGAACTTCAGCGGTGGAAAACTTAGACCCTCCGTCGAATTGTCCACAGACTTGATTGGCATGACATTTCCTCGGACACCTGGAGAAGTTCCGAATTATTTCCGACATCCAGTGAGAATAATAACAGATATGTTAGTCTTAGAAGCATTTCGAGTAATCTGTTCATGCCTACGCAGGGAAGATAATGGTCTTATCGATGGATAGGTTCTGTCATCAGCTGGGAGTGGAGAACTTAGGCCTTGAGAGTTCTGAAATGGGCTGACCCAGCGTACCCTAAAGTAGGAGGCTGGAAACGGACGAATGCTTGAAATACGGATTATGATCACAAGCGTTGATCGTGAGGGTCAACCGCTCTCGGAAAATACGCATGAGCTCATCATTTAATGGAATACTCCTCTCCCGAAGTGATTTGTCAGAGTATGGGGGAGTCGGGACACACGTTTTCACTTATATTTTCTAGGGCTTCAAGTAATGATCTCTTTGGATTTGGTGGCCCTGAAAAGGGCCGTTTTTTGTGACCAGTGACTTAGGCGCGTTCTCCGCGGATACGACGAGCCAGCTGGATGTCCTTGGGCATGATGGTGACACGCTTGGCGTGGATGGCGCACAAGTTGGTGTCTTCGAAGAGACCGACGAGGTAAGCCTCAGAGGCCTCCTGAAGAGCCATGACGGCTGAGCTCTGGAAACGGAGATCGGTCTTGAAGTCCTGAGCGATCTCACGAACAAGTCGCTGGAAAGGCAACTTGCGGATCAGGAGCTCAGTCGACTTCTGGTAACGACGGATCTCACGAAGAGCGACGGTACCGGGCCTGTAACGATGGGGTTTCTTGACACCACCGGTGGCCGGGGCGGACTTGCGGGCAGCCTTGGTGGCGAGCTGCTTACGCGGAGCCTTTCCTCCGGTGGATTTACGAGCGGTCTGCTTAGTACGAGCCATTGCGAACGAGTGCGCGCCAAAGTTTGGGTTGCGGAGCTCTGAGTCCACCACTCTTATATATGACAAGAGAGAGGAGGATCAGCCCCACTAAAGCGCTGCGCCGGCTCCTAACGCCGCTTCAGCCTCCGCTCGCGAGCCAAGAACCGCTGAGCTCGAGGGGCGGAGCTGGAACACCCTGTAACGAGAGAATGCACGAATCTTCCAGAATGAATATTCCCCTCCATCGGTGACGGGTAATCGTCCTCGCATCGGGACGTTCATTCCGAAAGGGAACTTCTCTGCTTCAGCGGAAATCATCGAAGGAGATAAAACTGGCGGACAGTATCGACCGTTCTCCGAAAACATGTAGGTAAGCATCAAATCTCGGAAGTCACGGATGGCGATTCGGTATGATTTGCCTATGGGAGTGACTTCGGCGCTCCGCAAGATTCCTGTCTTCGCTCATGCTTTAAGATGGAGTCGGAGCAAGGAGTCCCCTCTGGGAAGCGCTCCCTCGAGGATGAACAAGGAAGAATTTTCTATCAGGTATAACGATGCGGGGAATGCATATCTGACAAGAATCAAATCGATGTTCGTCTATCCATGTAGTCTACATTCGCGTAGTATTATCGATACGATTCGGACCGCGCGCGTTGAATCTCCTGAAGCCGACTAGCCTTGTCGACTGCCTTTCGGATATGGCTACCCTCGCCAGGTGAGGGGCGGCGCCGGTGCTCCGGGCGAGTATAAAATATCGGGGTGCCAGTCAGATTCTACTTCTCATTCGAGCGAAGAATCATGTCTGGACGCGGCAAGGGAGGAAAAGGTCTTGGAAAGGGTGGCGCCAAGCGTCATCGTAAAGTTTTGCGTGACAACATCCAGGGTATCACCAAGCCCGCCATCCGTCGTTTGGCACGTCGTGGTGGAGTCAAACGTATTTCTGGTTTGATCTACGAAGAGACTCGTGGTGTCCTCAAGGTTTTCCTCGAGAACGTCATCCGTGACGCTGTCACCTACACCGAGCACGCCAAGAGGAAGACCGTCACCGCCATGGACGTCGTCTACGCTCTCAAGAGACAAGGACGTACCCTCTACGGTTTCGGAGGTTAATTCCCTTCAGACGCATAGTCAGAAAAAAACGGCCCTTTTCAGGGCCACCAAATCCAGAGAGATCATTACTCGAAGCCCTAGAAAATATAATTGAAAACATGTGTCCCGACTCCCGACATACTCTGACAAATCACTTCGGGAGAGGACTATTTCATTAAATGATAAGCTCATGAGTGTTTTCCGAGAGCGGTTGACCTCCACAATTAACGCTTGTGATCAGAATCCGTATCTGAAGCAACCGTCCGTTTCCAGCCTCCTCCTTTAGGTACGCTGGGTGAGCTCATTTCAGAACTCTCAAAGCCTGAGTTCTCCACTCCCAGCTGATGACAGAAGTTATCCATCGATAAGACCATTCTCTTCCCTGCGCAGGCTTGAACAGATTGAGAATGAGATCATGGAAGACTTTCCATTCCTCAAAAAGAATAGTTGCCCATGAATGAAAGGATGAATGAATGAATGAATGAATGAATGAATGATGCTTGAGCGCCCGGACTGCGGGTGGATTCCGGTGCTTCTGCTCACAATTTCCTCGGCGCCCATTAAGGATCCGGCGCGTTATTCCAGCATTCCATTTGGACTCGATTCGGTATCCGAGGCATCAATCGGCATTCCTGAGGCGATTAGCGAGTTGCGAGCGCCACCTTGGAGGGGGTGATCGTGATTCGAAAGAAATGCTGGAGTAGGCTCGAATCTGTAGATTCCCATGAGCATTCAAATGTTTCTTGATCGATTTGCCGTCGTGGAATCCGACCGTGTCGAGAATGCTTCTGAGGTTTCACCCTACTCGAACATCGGGTGCGCTGAGCCCCTGATTCGAGAACCCCCCGCCCAGACGAAGAGGATTCCGGCCCCACTCAAGGAATGCAGACCGAAACGAGCTCCAAAAAGTCTGTCTGAGGAGGTTGATGTGAGAAGAAGTACAGATCAGAAGACGCATCTAAAGACAAAGGGGTTGAATCAGCTAGGTAATCGAGCATATTCTCGGACGACATCTCTCACTCTCACCCCTAGATCTGTTTCCAAGCTACGCAAGGATATGAATGATCAAGGAGAAGACCCTGATTCAAACCACTAGCTGCTACTCTACATCTCATTGTGTGATTGGCATCCATGAGTCAGTTCCGAGTGGACTTTCCCCAGAACCCGTGATCGGGCATTTCAGGTTCAACACATAGATTATGTACGGAATCGTGGGTACGAGCAAAGAGATTTTTGTGGAGCTGCGGACTCGAGCGAGGAGGGAAGACAATCTCGTTCGTTCTGGTGGCCCTGAAAAGGGCCGTTTTTTTCACATCGGAAAATGCAATTTACTTGGATGACGTGTACTTGGTGACAGCCTTGGTTCCTTCAGAGACGGCGTGCTTGGCCAACTCTCCGGGGAGAAGGAGCCTCACAGCGGTCTGGACTTCCCGAGAGGTGATGGTCGACCTCTTGTTGTAGTGGGACAGACGAGAAGCTTCGGCGGCAATACGCTCGAAAATGTCGTTCACGAACGAGTTCATGATAGACATGGCCTTCGAGGAGATACCGGTGTCGGGGTGGACTTGTTTCAACACCTTGTAGATGTAGATGGAGAAAGATTCCTTCCTCCTGCGCTTCTTCTTCTTCTTGTCCGTGGCACGGACGTTCTTCTGGGCCTTACCGGCCTTCTTCACGGCCTTTCCACTGGCTGCAGGCGGCATCGTTCAAGTCAAGCTCAAACGAGAGTGGGGTACACCACGAGAGCGTTCGTATTTCAATGTTCGGACTCAGGCAGGAAGAGCGGAATTTCTGCCGCCTTTTGAGAGAGAGGCTGCTCCGCTCAGCGACAGAGCCCGCCCAGCTTCATATATAAACGCAAGAGCCCTAACCCAGAGCAATCGTCAGTTTTGAACTAACGCACTCTCAACATGTCTGGACGCGGAAAGGGAGGAAAGGCAAAGTCGAAGGCGAAGACCCGTTCGTCTCGTGCGGGACTTCAGTTCCCCGTCGGTCGTATTCACCGTCTCCTCCGCAAGGGAAACTATGCCGAGCGTGTCGGTGCTGGAGCCCCCGTCTACCTCGCCGCTGTGCTTGAGTACTTGGCTGCTGAAGTTCTCGAGTTGGCAGGAAACGCTGCCCGCGACAACAAGAAGACCAGAATCATCCCCCGTCATCTTCAATTGGCCATCCGTAACGACGAAGAATTGAACAAGCTCCTGTCCGGTGTGACCATCGCCCAGGGTGGTGTGTTGCCCAACATCCAGGCTGTCCTCCTCCCCAAGAAGACAGACAAGGCTGCTGCCTAAGTCATTCTTCGGCAAAAACAAACGGCCCTTCTCAGGGCCACCAAACTTTACAAGATCGATTCAGCCTCGTATGATTTGGTCCGCGAACCGCATTGGAATCTTGACCTCAATGCAAGATCTGTTCTTGAAGATCTATCAAACACTTCGTCTTTGCTCTTCCGACTGATATTTCGAACCCTTCTCGTTTTCGTCTTGGATTTAAGCCAGTCAACATCTGAAACCGAGCTAGTCGATGCCGAGATGGTGCTAGCTCTACGGGTGTCGCATGATCCGCGAATCGACAGCTGATGCGGACTCGAGTTCTGATCAGCCATGATTGACGTGCCAAGATCGCTCCGAAAATCTTAACATATGGGTGGAGGCCAAGAAAAAGATCACGGAAGACCATTTTCGTGGGACGGATGGCTTCTCTTCGATGTTGTGTCAGAAAACAGGATGTTTCAAATTCCGTGGACGATGGTGTTTGTGGCATACAAGTTCTGCTCCTAAGTTCTGCTGTGATCTGAATCATGCGGGCACGGAGTTCCTCTCCAACTGCTTCGCATCAGCTCGATCGCAGGTCCGTTCGAAGTTCAAATCGCCTCATGACGATCGGGAATCACAATAAAAAACCGCGGATACTCAATTGGATGGGCAATCTGTAATATACGGGCAGTCTCCGAAGAACGGGTATTTTTGGGGATCGGAATCCGAGACTTGAGTATCGGAGCTTGAAGAATTTTTCTCGCGGCTCGTCTGTGCGAGCAGGCACCTTGCGCGTGATGCCGATTTGATTGACTCGCATACCAGAAAGCGGGACCGGACTCGATTCTCTTTCGGTAGGCGGCAGGATTAGAAGGGCCACCCCCGATAGATGGGCAATCTCTAAGACACGCGCAGGTGCTGAATGTTTAATGAAATGGCTGGACATACCCTCCAGTGAGAATAATTAAGGTAGATAGCTGGAATGTTGAGAATTATTCTTCAAATCTTTCCTGGCAGGGAGGAGGGTTGAATCCCTATGAAGACTGAACCGTTTTACCTTCTTTCTTTTTAATTTTTCTTCGGATAGCTCGAAAACAAATCGTTTGTCTCCCGAAATGCATTCCCTGACACCATAGGGAGCTACAGATCATTTCGGATTCCTCATGAAAATAATCACAGACACGTATTCAAATAGCGACTCGGGCGATGATCTCTTAAAGTTTGGTGGCCCTGAAAAGGGCCGTTTTTTTCTGTCGAAGGAGAGTTTGACGTGATTAACCTCCGAAACCGTAGAGGGTACGTCCTTGTCTCTTGAGAGCGTAGACGACGTCCATGGCGGTGACGGTCTTCCTCTTGGCGTGCTCGGTGTAGGTAACAGCGTCACGGATGACGTTCTCAAGGAAAACCTTGAGGACACCACGGGTCTCTTCGTAGATCAAACCAGAAATACGTTTGACCCCACCACGACGTGCCAAACGACGGATGGCGGGCTTGGTGATACCCTGGATGTTGTCACGCAAGACTTTACGATGACGCTTGGCGCCACCCTTTCCAAGACCTTTTCCTCCCTTGCCGCGTCCAGACATGATTCTCTTTTCGGATGAGAAGTTAAAACTGACTGGAGTTCAACTCTTATATAGCCGCTCAGAGCACCGGCTCCGCCTCTCATGTGGCGAGAGAAGCCGTACCCCCGGAGCCCGGAGCACTTCATCTAGCGGGAGTGGAGGCCCGACCTGCTCGGTCCGGATTGACCCAGTCACCCATTTGATTTTCAGAGAACACGGATTATCCCGTTGATCTATCATTCTTGATAATGAGGAGAATAATTGTCAATCTACATAGAGAGGGATTCACGCGGAGAATCCTCAACATCTGCGGAAAGAATGCATCGTAGCGAGATTCGAGCGCGGATCATGTCTCTCGGAAAAAAATTGGATCGCGCTCTTCCTAGCTCGCAATCGGTGCTTTTGAAGAATGAATTCCATCTCCGTCCCATCATATGACGGTACGGACTGTTTGTCGTTCATCTTCCCGTTGGCGACAAGGGGAAGCAGCGAGTCGATGAATAGGACCTAGTCAACTTCTAGCGATGAATAGCAGTGGCGTCCACAGGATTCTTCTTGGGGGGGGGCTAGATCGGGTCCTCGCATGGGGCTGATTCCCAACATGGCGACACGCTCCTATATCTTAGCATTACGAACCCTCAATCTGGGAGGGGGCTATAGCCCGACGCGCCTGATGAATAGGGTCCACTCCAAGAGACACCCTGTCCAAGGAGCTTCAAAATATCTGTCTGACTAAAAGCCGATACTAATTACTTCGTATCGAGAGCGCTGCAGAAGAGTCGGGATATCTCGCAACAAGCTTATGTGACATCTCGTACGACCTCTACCTCGTTTGAAAGATTACCCAAGTCTCTACCCACTGATTAAGAGGAATCCATCGGAGATTCGGGGTATCGCTCCCCAAACCTATCATGAATTTCGTCTTCGTCTCCGACCCCTAGAGCCGGAGGAATTCGGTAGCGGAGCTCCGGCGGCACTGGAGAGACCCGTTGGAGCTGCACCTCCTCTCCTAAGTGATATATAAGAGCCTCGGACAATCAGCTCCGCAACCCAAACTTTGGCACGCATTCGTTCGCTATGGCTCGTACTAAGCAGACCGCTCGTAAATCCACCGGAGGAAAGGCTCCGCGTAAGCAGCTCGCCACCAAGGCTGCCCGCAAGTCCGCCCCGGCCACCGGTGGTGTCAAGAAACCCCATCGTTACAGGCCCGGTACCGTCGCTCTTCGTGAGATCCGTCGTTACCAGAAGTCGACTGAGCTCCTGATCCGCAAGTTGCCTTTCCAGCGACTTGTTCGTGAGATCGCTCAGGACTTCAAGACCGATCTCCGTTTCCAGAGCTCTGCCGTCATGGCTCTTCAGGAGGCCTCTGAGGCTTACCTCGTCGGTCTCTTCGAAGACACCAACTTGTGCGCCATTCACGCCAAGCGTGTCACCATCATGCCCAAGGACATCCAGCTGGCTCGACGTATCCGCGGAGAGCGTGCTTAAGTCACTCGCATCCGT